CCCGCGGGCAGCGGACAGGGTTATCCGCTGCCCACGCGCTCCGCGGCTTGGCTCTGCTTTGCCCCCCACTGTTGAAACTGATCAGTTTCAGCAGCGGCTGAATCTGGACGCCAGTTCCGACTTACATACAGATTCAACTTAAGAACAAACCTCCAGTCCCTATCTTGTACGTAACCCGGGGACTGCCTGTACTAAAACCCTTATCAACAGGAGACTATTACATTGATTATTTTTTTGTTTTGGCTCCTACCCGCGGGCCACAAACAAATGGGCCGCGAGGAGGGGCAGCCTGTCCATATAGGTGAACGAGGCAGTCGCCTAGGGCGCCAAGTTAAATGGAGCGCCAAATAGTGGCGCACTATTATTGAGAGGTTTGGAGGTGGGGGAGCAGATTGCAGGGTTCGCCTAGAAAGCCAGTTGCTGGCAGCTAGTCTAGGGCTGCCCCTGACTGCGGGCCACATGCGGCCCATGGGCTGCATGTTGAATAGCCCTGCTCTAATACATGCAAATATTCAGTGGAGCATAAAATATACACTTTAAATTGCATAAAGAAAGCTTAGATCTGCAAGTAAATTGATCCCAATACCATATGCAATCTTGCATGGTGTATTTTTATACACACTCAGAGAAAGCACTCAGACATAACCAAGATTATGCACCAAAACTGCTCTCATTTACATTGATGTCACTTCTCTAACAACAATTATAGTCCACTAATTAAACTGAGAGCAGAACCTGAGTGTAGTTTGTACAGAGAGAAGTTGGTTTTGAGGCAGTTAGTGAAATGGTCACTGAGTACTAAGGCTGTCTATTAATTGCAGTTAATTCAAAATTAATTGCAATTTAAAAATTAATCATGATTAATCAGTTTTAATTACATTGATAAACAATATTAATCTAAATGTATTAAATACATTTTAAAATATATTGATTTCCATTGCAACACAGAATACAAAGTATACAGTGCTCACTTTATATTTTTATTACATATATTTCCACTAAATGATAAATTAGTTTTCAATTCACCTCATGCAAGTACTATAGTGCAATATCTACTGTGACATGAAATTTACAAATGTAGATTTTCTTTTTTGTTAGATAACTGCACTCAAACTAAAACAATGTAAAACTTTAGTGCAACAATGGGCAACCTAGGCCAGTGACTAGGTCACATGAGTGGCTCTCCATCTCAGTGGACCACAAGGATATCATAACCAAGACGGTCTCCCAGAATAGGGCAGTTTTGCTAACTGAGCTTGCATACCTAGAATTTGTGGGGTGTGACAATTGAACCATAACAACACTCTGATTGAATGCAAAGGGGCTATGTCTACACTGGCATGATTTTCCGAAAATGCTTTTAACAGACGCGGTTTTCTGCAAAAAAGCCCCGATCGCCATTTTCGCAATTGGGGCTTTTTTGCGGAAAACACTACTGTGCTGTTTACACTGGACCTTTTGCGCAAATGATTTGCGCAAGAGGGCTTTTGCCCGAGCGGGAGCAGCACAGTATTTCCGCAAGAACACTGACGATCTCATGTAAGATCGTCAGTGTTCTTGCGGAAATAAACAGCCACTGTAGACAGCTGGCAAGTTTTTCCACAAAATCAGATGATTTTGCAGAAAAACTTGTCAGTCTAGACACAGCCAGGGAGTGCACAGCTCTCCCAGTCAACGCTGTGTGCAATCAGCACACGCCTCACTTCATAAGTCCTTGCTTTACGTGTGTGCCACTTTAATATCAGTAGGGGGAAAAAGTACGCGGCTGGAAACCAGTGGAATCTGGCAATCCTGCTCATGGGCAATGTAAAACAAAATGTCTCACAGGTCACACACAGAACGTGAAAGGGCTGCAGGTTGCCCACTACTGCTCTAAAGATTTATACTGTCTTATTTTTAATGAAGTTTTCTTGCACATAATTCTACATTTGCATGTTCAGCTTTCATGATAAAGAGATTGCACTATAGTACTTGTACATGCAGTCCCCGGGTTACGTACAAGATAGGGACTGTAGGTTTGTTCTTAAGTTGAATCTGTATGTGAGTCGGAACTGGCGTCCAGATTCAGCCGCTGCTGAAACTGACCAGCAGCGGCTGAATCAGACACGCCTGGGGCAGAGCAGCTGGGGTGCTGCTGGGTTGGTCCAGTAGCGCCACACCTCGGCACTGTGGGACCAACCCGGCAGCCCTCCAGCTGCTCTACCCCAGGCGTCAGCGAGAAAAGCCTGGTCTGCGTCCTCCGCGGCTTTGCTGCG